AGCATGCACCATGCTAACCAAGTTCTGTACTTCCCTTTATGACCAGTGGTTACTGGGGGTTTATTTTTTGCTATCAGACAGTCGAAGTTTGAACTTCTCAAAGAGCATGGTTGAAACAATTTCATAATAATATGTTGTGGTCTCGTGTAGTAAGTACAGTGCAGCTTTCACATGAAGCTGCTGTGGCAGACTTCTTTACCTTTGAAGAAAAATCAGACTGTGAGCTCAGTTGAATTTACTAAAATGTCAGAAAGCTTGCAGGTTTTGGCTAGGGTCATTTTCCACTGGATTAATAGCTTACCTGCAGATAGCAGCGAGCACCCAGCAAGAGGAGGAGTTGTGCCAGGAGAAAAGCTGGTGCAAGGCAGGCAAGAGCTTTCCTGTGTGACAGTGCTGAGCTGCTGCACTGCTGAATGCCGTGAATCCATCTCCTGAGATAAGTGCTTATTCATGAGAGCCTGGTTTGTGCTTCTGCTCTGCCAGTCTTGGCCTGTGTTTTTCATTACTGGATGTTGTTGGGAGGTGGTTTATTTTTGCTCAACTGCACGTGTGTGTCTATCTGTCTGTCTGCACTTAGTCTTCCTTTATATTCAGTGAGTGATAGACATCCCTGGGCCTGATTTCTCCAAACAATTTCAGATTTCTCCCTTCTGTGGGATGTGCACCATTAAGTGTTGGTTCCTTTTCATTTGCTGTAAGTTACTAGCACAGCTCCAGGTTTTCATTTGGAGAAAATAACCCCTTCACATTTGGGTGTTTTACACTTTCATTCTCTGTGCTGTGTGCTGCTTATCAGAACAGTGGCAGTAGTTAACATATGTTCTGACACAGATTTTTGCTTAGCGTGTTCTTTTTATTCCTGGACAGATTTCCACTTGTGTGACTCTCTGACTCCTTAAATCACGACTGTTATTCTTACTGGATGTTATCCTTCTGCACTTTCTTGCTGCCCCTTAAAGCATCCCACGGTTTGAGAACTTGGCATGATCTTAAAGGAATAGCTGAGGAGAAATGCTTCTTGAAGAATATTTTCCAAAAGCAATCTGCTTGTTGTAGATCAAATAGTTTCATTGCTTTGTGATCTTCAGGCTCTTTTGGAGTCTTGATTTGTTCTGGAGTGCCTACACAAGTGATTAGGGAAAGTGTGTATGCAGTTCATGCAAACAACATTTCTAAAGGGTCTGTGCCTTCACGGGCAGAGTTTTAGTAATTGCAAATAAAAGTAGGATTGAAAGCTGGTTTGAGCAAACATTGTGCAAAGTGCAGATGGCTCAGAACTGATCTCAGAATGCAATATAACATATTGATTTCCAATGAGATAACCAGCCTGCCAGCATCACCAAAGGGAACGGAGAGAGGGACGGCTCTCAGATGTCTTCACATGGCTGTGAGGTGTAATTAATGCCTGTAGCTTTTGAGAGGAGCCTAAAAAAAATTCTGTTCTTTGCCCAAGCTGGCAGATTTAAGGAGGAGATTAAACAGCACTGTGTACTCAGAACTGCAGTTGGTAGGAAGCAGTTTTTGTCACTTTTTCAATGGCTTGAGTTAGTCATGGATTTCTAGGTGAAATAAAGGACTGTTCTGCTCTTGGAAGCAGAGCTCTATCTTGAAAAGCCCATCTAAAACAAACTTTGCTTAGTGGATTCAGGAAGTCCTTTCTGTGCAGCGTTGGCTCTTGAGCAGCTTTTCTTTTGGTCACAGTTCTGGCATCATTCTGCAGTATGCAAGGCAGCTCTCTGATGAGGTAATAAATGAAGTCTTTTGTTGCTACAGTAACAAATGTCTGAGTCATGAGTGCTTTATTTATGATTATGCTTACGTCAAAACACATCAGGACAGCACTTGCTCACTATACTTTCCCTTAATGTTTTAATTGTAAAGAATGGTAAAATGCCCAGTGCTCGATGTGGAGCTTTCAGCAGCTTTGTCTGGTCTGCTGATAGTTTGTATTTAGCAACAAACAACATTATTATAACTTCAGTGTTTCCCTGTGAACTTTAGCGTGCCCAGAAGTAGCCAGAGCTGAGGTGAGATGGCAGGCAGTGCTGCAGCTGTCTGAGCTGCCTGCAAGCAAGGGTTGCCTCTGGTTTGTCTGCCTCAGCTCAGCTCTGATGGTAAATCTTGTGAAAAATTCTGGAGTGGTATTTACTCCTGTGGTGAAAGTTTGAATTTGCATATTTGGTAATAGGAAACCATTATTAAAAGCAGCTATCTGGAAGGAAGAAGGAATGAGGATTGATTTTTACTTTCCTGTTGCCAGTGTTTTGTTTCTGTGTTTTTTTTTTAAACAGGAAGCTATTGTATTATAGAGTTATGTATGCTCTGCTGGGACTCAAAATAGCCATTTGAAATTTGGCAGAGATAGAGGCACGCAGTCTTTTGGACAAATCTATTTTGTTTTTACAGTTTAAAATGAAATTTAGGGATAGAGACCACACAACCTGACTGTGCACAGGGCTTTTGTGTGCAGAAATGCTAAATAACCCGAAAATGCAGTGTTTCCATAGGCGGAGTTTCTTTTGTATTCACGGGCTGGGGAGCCTCAAATTCCAGAGGCATTACATGAGCAGTTTTAATGAATTAGTGTCTGGTTTTCCTGCAGCAGATGTGACAAGCAGCTTTATAAGCTGTTTCCCATCGATCGCTGTTTTCCAGCTCTTTTGTGTCTTTTGCTCAGAGAAAAGCAGTGAAGAGCTTGGTTTCTACAGTAACTGCTGCCTACATTCTTGCCTGCAGGCCAATTTCTTTCTCGGTTCCTGCAGCCTGTGCAGGGCTACTGTATTGAATTTCTGGAGGGTTTGGGTTGTTGGCTTTCTTTTTTTTCCCTTGTCTCTGGTTGAAGTGTTTTACGGTGTAAGAAGAAAGCAGAACACGGTGGAGATTTGTGATTTTGAGATATGTATTTATTAATCATAGCATACTTCCATGGCTGTAGGATAAACTAAGTGCTTTTGCTACTGATCGGTTCCATTATTTGTGTATTTAGTGTGGAAAGGAAGTGGAATGTGTGACTGCTGAAGCAGGAACATTTGCAATTTGTAATAACAGCTGTATTAAGGCTGGTTTTATAGCACAGGAGGGAAGCGGAGGACCAGCTTTAAGTACAGCATTTGTTCAGTCTCGACTCTTAAATTGCTGTGAACATACCATTAAAATTGTATCATTTGTCACAAAGTTAACTTCCTAAGCGAGAGAGAAGTATTAAGCCATTTCCAGGACATGTTTTCTCATTACTCTATTCACTGCCAGTGGCTCAGGAATGTTCTCCTGTCATTGTGGATACTCTGCTGCTGTAGGATGATGCTTTGTTGCAGCCAGACTTGTTCCAGGCCCTTCTGAAAGTGGGCTAACACCATTCCTGGAATGGCTTTCCAAAAAATATTCAGACTTCTTATGCGGTTGCTGGAACATGAATGAGGAGGTATGTGAGTTGGGTCTCCTGTTGGAGAGTCAGCAATTTAATCATGTTTCCTGCTTTCACTTAGAATTTGATAAAACTGTAATGTTGGTGGGCTTGAGTTAGCATGAGTCTGCAGCAATGTTTTGTCACTTCTGATGAGGCATGGGTCTTAGCTTGTGAATGTTCAGCCATCTGAGTGGATGGAAGGATCAGTGACAGTTTCCTCAGCGTGGTTTTTCATGCAGGTTTATGGCATTGTGTGGGCAATGATGGCGTGCCTGAAAGAAGTGCTTGAATGCTTGTGGAAATCAGTGCTCTAAATAAAATGTCTCATTGCTGGTTGAGATTGCTTCAGAGCCCTCATGTTTTCTGTTTGCGGAGGACATGCTTTTCAGCTATTGATCTTTAGTCAGCAGAAATCAATGGCAGAGGACACAGAGAATGAAGGGAAGCACGCGTGAGGCTGTGATTCATTCCCCAGAAGAGAGAGTTGCCACTTTTTAAACAAGTTGCTTTTTTGGGTAACCTCTAGAAGTGTCCTGACTAGCAGTGACCACACATAATTGCAGGTATATTTATGGTAAATGAACCCAATCAGGGCTTAGTTTAAATCATGGAGGCTTGTAGGAGGAGGCAGCTCTACTGAGACAGCGTGCACGTGTGCTCTAGGAAGTGATGCTGGGTTCTGGCTGCAGTAGTTTTTCTCGTTGCTGTGCAGGGTGTGGTCAGCTGCACACAAACACCTTAAAAACTTCCCTTTTAAAAAACCAGCGGAGGACTTGTGCTTTATGTTCCTCTGCTTCACATTTGAGAAGTGATCTTTTCCCCTGAAAGTCAGTGGGGAAAATAGGATGCTGCTATTTTCTATTGTGACCGGTTAGAAGAGTGTTGCAAAGGTGGCATTTGCGATGGGAGCAGAAGTGCACAGCTCGTGTGGATGGAAAGCAGCTGGAGTGGTCCCAGGCGTGGGGTGGTGGGAGGACGTGGCCATCTGGTTGGTCTTTCCAACCTCAGTGATTCTGTATATAAAAAATGAGCCAGTGGAAAAGCTTCCATCTGGAGTACTGTGTCCAGTTCTGGGCACCCCAGTACAAAAAAGACAAGGATCTCTTGGAAAGAGTCCAGCGGAGGGCCACGAAGATGGTGAAGGGCCTGGAGCATCTCTGCTATGAGGAAAGGCTGAGTGAACTGGGTCTGTTCAGCCTTGAGAAAAGGAGACTGAGAGGGGACCTGATCCAGGTCTATAAATATCTGAGGTGTGGGGGGCAGAATGGCGAGGCCAGACTGTTTTCAGTGGTGAGTGGAGACAGGACAAGGGGAAATGGCTGGAAACTGCAGCATAGGAAGTTCTGCACAAATGTGCACAAGAACTTCTTTACAGTGAGGTGAAGAGCACTGGAACAGGCTGCCCAGGAAGGTGGTGGAGTCTCCTTCTCTGGAGATGTTCAAGACCTGCCTGGATGCCGACCTGTGCGACCTGCTGTAGGGAACCTGCTTTGGCAGGGGGGTTGGACTCGATGATCTCTGGAGGTCCCTTCCAACCCCTACAATTCTGTGATTCTGTGATTCTGTGATTATAATCTGATGAGCATTACAGTGGATCACCTCTTTTCAGTGTACCTGTTACACCATTAACTGCACTCTGAGCATTTTTCTTATTTTGGAAGAAAAATGACAGGAATCTCTTTTTGAGGAACTCGAGGAAATCCTTTGTAAAACAAACCTCGAACACATTGTTTGTGTTTCAGTACTCAAGGAAATCCTTACTACAAGAAGTTGTGTAACTCTGTTTCTGATAGCACATATTAGTAATAATAACTTACATTTTACATAGGTGGTAATTCAGTTCTGGAAGTACTGCGGTAATGATTTACAGTTTAGTTTAACAGACCAGACTCTTAATTCACTTCCAGAATGTCTGCTTATTTGGTGTGCATGAGGTTGGGCAGTTAGAATTTTGGTATAATATTTGGAAGACAGGAAAACTGCAAAAAGTAATCGTTTCTTCTGGAAAAGTATGGGCTAAGTGAAACAGCCACTTTCTCCTTGGTAATGGAATTGCTGCTTTCCAAGCTAGCAGAAGTCGCTGCTTTCAGGTTTCCCCAAGAGGTGGAGTTGTGTTTCTTCTTACAGCGCTCTTTTGTATGTGTTGGTTTGATCAGAGAGTTCAGCTCTCCTCCAGAGAGATGCACCTTTTCCCAAGGTACAGAGCCACAGCACACAGGCTTTACAAGCTGAATGTATTTGTGATTGCCCTTTTTGTGTTATTTTTCCTCGTGGTGTCTATAACTGCATGTGTAAAGGCTCATCTTTTAAGCCTTGCTTATTTAAAAATCTGTTAAAAATAATTGTTAGTTCTAGTTTAATTCATATTTAATTACCTATTACTCTGTTGTGATGTCAATAATAAATGGAGTGGCAAATGGAGAAAAGGAACTTGGAACTGCACAGAGCTGGTGGTCCCCTGATGTAGCTTTGCAACCTGGTAGAATTGAGGTCAGTGCTGTTATTCATCACTGGCCTGGGACATGGGGCAGCACCCATAGCAGTTTGTGGATAACACCAGACTGTGGGGAGCGGTTAATAGCTGGAGGGCAGAGCTGGCACTCACAGGGACATGGATGGACTGAAGGCTGATGGGGGACCTTGGGAAGTTCAGGAAACATAAATGTAAAATTCTGCATCTGGGCTGTGTGAAGCCTGGGAATGGCTGACTGGAGGGTCCTGGTGGGGAGGATGTTGTGTGCGTTTCCAAGCTGCGCCCTTGTTGTCATGGTGAAGGCCAGCCTTGTACTGGGCAGTGACTGTACCCAGCTTTGGGCCTCCGGTACAAAAGCCACCGCCAACAGAAGAGACCAACTGAAGAGGGCAGCGGAGGGCTGCTGAGGTGCTCAGGGAACAAGCGGGTGAGAGGCTGGAGGAGCCCACGTGCCTGTGGCAGGGGGGTTGGAACTTGGTAAACCTTGATGTCTCTTCCAACCCAGGCCGTGCTGTGATTCAATGAAACCATTCCCTGTTATTGTGGCTCATTATGGAGTAAATTGCCCAACTGCAGCCATGGCAGGCTTCTCAATTTGAAACAAGACCCAGAGAAAACTGATGTCACTTAGAAGTTAGCTTTCCTGTGAATAAGGTATCGAACCAGAGGCCTTCAGAGGTCTCTTCCAAACTTTATTTCTCTGCTGTTTGATGTGAATGATGTAAAAAACAGGTTTTGCCTTCTGAAGTGCGCTGGAATCAATTGTGCACGTGGTACTGTGTGTTGTAGTATCTCAGTGGTGACTTAAGCTTCAAAGCATGTGTGTTTTCTACCAGGAGTGTAACTAAAGCAGTTGGTGGTGAAGATTGGTTTTACTGGAGTGATGCAGTGGAATCAGGTAGGAGATGAGTTTTAAGTAAGAAACAAATAGGCAAGAAGAATTAGGGAGGGGTGAGTTATAAATCTCCCTTCCATAGAAAGGAGAAGTATGTTGAAATGTGATTTCTGCATTTTCTTTGTTTGCTGATGAATACAGGGCAGGATAAGGAGGTATGACAGCATCATCTTAGTGTGCTGTATGGGCAGAGAAAACCTAAGTTGGAGAGAAGCTGTTTGATGGTACAGAGGTTGTTGATTACCTCAGTTTCTCCTGGAAATGAGCTATCCTGTCTCCTGTGCTTGACACTTCAAGCATTTGAAATAAGAAATGAGCAAAGACTCAGGCTTGGGGATGCTGACCGGGTTTAAATGTAGAAATGGGAAGCTTTCCTTGGCTGTTAGTGAACTAACAAGAGTTTGGAAACCTCTCATCTTTTAATTTTTGGGTGTGTTTAAAAAACAGGGAGATCCTTGAAGTTCTTGCTGTTCAGTAGCATTTTCAGTGTAAAAACTTGAATTACCATGGCATAACTACCATGCTTAGGGAGTTATTGGTGTTGAACTCCCAGTCTATTTGAAAGGAGGATCTGGAGGTGCTGATAACAGAACTGTAAGAGAACAGCTTCTATCTGGCTTTTAAAAGGCAATTAAAGTGAAATAATTCAAACGGTACTGAGGCACTGAGCTTCATTGCAGGACTGGCATACAGGGAGGAAATGGAATTCCTGCTTCTGTGTTTTGGCTCCACAGATGAGATAGGACATTTCCTTATTTCCAATCAGATGCTATTAGAATGTAGTTAGAATTGCAGGTGTATAATTAACCTTTTCCTGCAGTGCAGGCAGCATTTCTAAAGGAAGAGGAGAAAGTATTTAGAGATGTGACAAAAGTGGAATTTAAACGTCTCCTCAGAAGACACCTGGCAATGTACAGAGTTGCTAAACTCATTCAATAGAAGTAATGCCAGGGTCAGCAGGTCTCAGTTTTGCTGGGAGCTGTAGAGATAGGAATGGTTTTCTCACGAATAGTTAGAAATGTTTCGAGGCTGCTTATCTGTTTTCTCCCATCTCAGCTTTTCCAGTAGTTAAGCCAGAATGAACTTCTGAAGCAGAGTGATTAGGACCATTGGTGGCATTGCAGGTGTGATGCCTGCACTGCGGGTTGCTGGATCATAGGCTGGCAGGCTAGCCTCCTTTCTGATGCTCTGTAGGAAAACAGTGTAAGTACTCTTGTGATAAACATACGAAAATATTTAAATATGCTACCATGAATAGTTGTTTGAAGTCTATGAGATACAACAATGGCACATCTGTGGCATGTCAGTTGGACAAATCATTGGTGCTTTTGTTTTCATCACTTTGATTCCTGCCATGTGAGCTTTTCGTCACGTGGCTCTTGGAACACACGTCTTTCATAGGGTTTGGTTTTTAAAGAATCTGTTGGACCAGTTGTGGCTCCATTTGGTTTCCTGCTCTGAATGATATCATCCTCTGAAGGAACAGTGAGAGTTAGTTGAGTAGATGAGGGGTAGAGTGACACTTTGCAGTACAGCTACGTTCATTCATTCATTCATTCATTTAAAAGTGGGATGTATAGATCAGTTTCTTCTATAGCAACCATCCTAGCACATCATGAAAGTAGTTTGCTTTTTAAAGAGCGATTAAAATTGAGTTCAGCTTGCTTTAGGCACTGTGTGTTCGAGCAGGTCTCTGTGCGTGCTTCCTTTGCTTTGCTGTGTAATTAAAAAACAAATGCCCAAACCAACTTGATTCTCCTCACTTTAGAAAGTGCACCTTATTTTGATTTGGAAAGTCAGTGCAACATGTGTGCATTGATGCAAATGGCTTAGAAAATCTGTTAGTTAATGTACCCTTCTTAGATCACTTTTTGGGCTATCTTCCAACTATTAAAACATATCTATATTTAAAAACCATGCTTGAAAATACGAACCAATTGACAGATGCAGTCTTTCAATAATACACGATTCAGGTGTTTACGTTTGAGGCAGAACAGTGATCTGTGAGTGCTTTGTGTCTTCCTTAAGAGCAGCACCCTGTGAAGCTCAGTGTGAGAAGTGTTGTGCACTACACAGTAACGGCTTTCACTGCAGCTCCTGACTGTAAGATCCACGTTTGCATGGCACTGCTGATTAACCTTTGGTTTGTCAGAACTCCTGGGTTTGGTTTTGTTTTCCCAAATCCGATTGACATTTGTCACCAGTATTTTTCAGCATCTCATTTTTATTAGCACAACAGCTGAGACCTCTCTCAATTGCTACTAAAACAGGCAGAAAATGCTCTCTGAGAGGGAAAGCATGGTAGTGAGCTGGAGATACTAAAAAAGCAGAATTTGGTTCACTCAACTTTTTTGCTGAAGTGCATCTGCATTTTTTTGGCATGGATTCTGTTCCTGATTTAGCACATGGAGCGTGTTTCAGAAATAGGTCGTCTGTTAAATCCGGACAGAGTCCATACTGAGAAGTGAGGCAGAGAGAAAAGGGAGGTCAGCAGCACTGCTCGCTGCTTTTCCTGATGCTTGAATGTAAACTGCAGGGGAAAAAGGAATCTCCGCAACGGATGCGTGCATCACAAGAGGTGTAGTAAAAGGCAAATGCTTTCTTTGCTTTATAAATGTGCTTTAAGAAGTAGAACCCAAAGAGTATGAGAATTGATGCTTCCAATGCTGCTGTTCAGCTCAGCCTTCCTTCCAGTTCTCATGGAATTTTGACATTTAATACAATCTCTTCAAAGCAGTGATGCCATTTATTTACAGTGTGCTGCTTGTGTTCATGGCTGCATCCCTCAGACCTATTCCAGTATGCTGGTTTCTGTCCTTTTAAAACCAGACCTACACACAGTCATTTAAAAAACTATTGTGAAGGTTTGTTTGTAGGTCATACAGCATTTGAAAGTTGTATTCATGGTTTGGAAAGGATGTGTAAATACAGTTGGGGGCTTAGTGCTGAGTGCAGTCTGACAGCTTAATTAAAAGAGAGGAGGTGGCAAAGTTCCTTGAACGGAGCCTTTGTAGATCCTTTTGTTGAGAGAAAATGAAGTTTCTTGTTAACTCAGTCTGTTTAGTTCTGAGAAGTTATAAATAACCTGTTCTGTGTAACTGGGTTAACTTGTGAATACCTGCATGGAAAGATGGGGGGACAGAAGGAAAACGTTCACGTGTGCTGTAGTTGTATTTCATTTTCCAACAACTCACACATTGTTAATTTACTGTCAGGTTATAATCAGTTTTTTAATTTAGGGCTACAGAAGTTGGTCATTTGTGTAAATGGAAATTTATTGAACTTGGCTCTTGAATTCAGCTTTACCAAAACATACCTAAAAGTGGTAGTGCAGCAGCCATGCACTCTGCAGATGATGGCCTTAGGACTGACAGGTGTTGGATTTAATATGTGTATGAAGAGGAAACAGAGCAATCTTTTAGCTGGAGCACTCCATGAAGCTGATTAAGGCTCAGATTTGCCTATCTTTATGCTCCTGGTGAGTTCTGCTTGTCTTGCTTGCTCCTTTACAGGAGCTGTTGTTTGACATCTGGCAAATAGCATTTGTCTTCAAAATAATACCAAAATAATACTTTTTTAGGGGTAGTTGCAAGGTTAGGATGAACCTCAGGAAATGCAGAGACTACACATGAAGTGCTGTCGTTACAAATAAGTGCCTTTGTTTATGTCTTTCCAAATTCTGAACTTGCTCACTTGTGGATCTGTTTCTGGTCACGCTGATCTTTGTGTGATCAGTAGAATGAAGGTGTTTGCAAGTAATTGTGCAAGGCAGCATGCCTTTGTATTTTTAGATATGGTGATGTGTGCAAATCATGCAAAAAAAACTCTTATGCTGTGTAAACAAGTGACTTACGTGTTTGTTTTTCATTTTTCAGCTGTACTTTCAGGTTTCCCAGCACAAACATAAAGATAACATTCACTGCTCTGTCCAATGAGAAGAGAGAAAAACAGGAGGCCCCGGAGTCCCCAGTGAAGCCTGTGCAACCCCAGATCTCTCCCTTAACGATAAACATTCCAGACAACATGGCTCACCTGATCAGCCCTCTCCCTTCTCCCACAGGAACTATCAGGTATTTAAACCCTGCAGATGGAATACAGGGCAAAAGAATGGTTACAGAATTCAGACCATTTTGTAATATGCTGTCGGTATTCTGCTTCTGTGATGAAGCTTCAGTTCTGCTACCTGTGAAAACAGTTACATCAGCAGCCTTGAGTACTTACACGTAATTTCTTAGACGTGTAGCAGTTTGCTCTGGAGCGTAACATTCTTAGAAGAAAGGAGCACATGTTTTACTTTCTTTCCAAGCGACTTTGGTGGTGTTTTTATAGACTTTGGTTATCGTTAGTGTGGAAAATAGACTGATTTTTAATTCTGAAAGATGATTTTTTAGTGACCAGTCATTACTGAAAGTAAACAAAGCACATAAACTGAAATAGAACACGAGAAGTTTAGTGTAGGGAGGTCATCTGCAAGGGAGGTTAATTTGGGTTTTTTATTCATTGTGTTGCTTGATTTGGTATTTGTTGTCACCGTGTGACTCTTTGTTTGGGACCAAAATAATGAAACAAACACCAGCTGTCCTGATAAGCTGATAAAATTAGTTTAGATAGAAAGTGCTGGAGCAAAAACTTCATTTCAAGTCACTGGAAGTTGCTTTTGCAAACCATGTACTTGCTCCGTGCTTCTTGTGGGCCTCACTTGGGTGATGGACTGTGAATGATTGGTTTTGAAAAATGTACTTGCTGTTAATGAGATTTGAATGAAGGATAATCGACTTCTTTCCTGTTTGCCAAGACCTTCATCTCAGTGTTGTAGTGTTTAATGAGATCTATACAGATGGTGGAAATAGAGAGAGATTTTGACTTGTCTGTGTAACAGGTTTGCCTTCTGATTAAAATTCAAGGAAAATATTTTTTGCTTATGAAATGATAGAGCAACTCATAAATGCTGCAGATAATATCATGTGTATCACCACAGTCTTTGCCTCACTATGAATTTTGCAATTCTCTTCAGGGCTTTCGTGCACCTGTTGAGCAAAGTTTATTACAGAAAAAAAAAGATGACAGTTTTGAGTCTATTTTGAGAGCAGAGCTTGACAGTTTCTCTTCCAATCATCCTGTTTTGGACAGGACTTGTAAGCTTGCTTTGTATGTACCCATATGTGTTGCTTTGTCAATATGTGCTGAAGTGAGCTCAGTGGAAGGATGTTGTCAGTTGATCTGTAAAAACACAGAACAGCAGTGACCTATATGAAAAAGAATAATAAAAATAGTCAGATATTTTGGTTCTGATCAAGACTTCCATGCAGTGCTTCAGAAATCCAGTCCTCCTTGTATGGCGTATTGCTGGCAGGTAACAAGTGGCTGTGCTGGATTTCTCAGATTGCCTTTGCAGATAAGGCTGCAGCAGTCTTTACTATTGCAGTTTTTAGTTAAATGTTGGAAGTGCTGGGGACTGCTGAAATGAGTTACAGTCGCTGAGAAGCGTGTGCCCCGATGGAGAGCTGCCAGAGTTTTGGTTTTATTTGGAGGAGACAGACATCACTCAGTGGCTTTGTCTTTCCTGTTGGCAAAATGAAATTGTGGAAGTAAAACCATTTTTGTGCTGCTGTAGTTCGTGTGGGCTCACGGGGCAGGAGAGCAGCCCTTAGGAAAGGTGCTCCAATTTTAGCTCTGCTTTTCTGTGGTGGAGAGCAAAACGTGAGGAGTCAGAGGGCCTCACTTCTTCCCTTTCATTGGTGCTTCCACTTTCTGGCACAGTATTTGCTCTGCTGATGTAATACAGAGTGCAGTCAGATAAGTCAGTGCTGATGCTTCCTGTTCATAGCATTCATCACTTTTATATATATATATGTGTGTGTGTGTGTGTGTGTATGTATGAACATGCTTGCAAATGTTTAAAATAATGTTTTAGATTTTAATGAGAATCAATTTATTTTTTTTTTCCTCACTGCTTTTTATATTTTCTCATGTGCAGAAATACTGCACAGAACAAGATCTTTCTGAGTAGACAAAATACAAGCATATGGCAGAGATTTCAGGCAAGATGTGTTTCTTGTTTCAAATGAGTGTCTTAAAATGTGTGGTTGCTTATGTAGTTAAAATGGACTTCTGTCTAGGCAAATCTCACCCAAATACAGTACAACCTAATAAATCAGTTAATCCCTTTTCCTTTGAGGAGGAAAGCCTGAGCATCATCTGACAGGTTTCTTCCTGCAGTGATTTTAATGCTCATGGATGAGTTAGAAGGGCTTGGAAAATAGGTTTTATAATGGAAATACTGACAGGCCCTTAACTGTGGTCTAGAAGCACTGATAGTGGGCTTTTCTGCAATAAGAGCTTTTTGATTAAATATAATGTGGTGATATACTGTATAACAAAATAGTAGGATCTTCTTTTTATGCTCAACAGTGCTGCAAATTCCTGCCCATCTAGCCCCCGTGGTGCAGGCTCTTCAGGGTACAAAATGAGTCGTGTGATACCATCTGACCTACATTTAATGGCTGACAATTCTCAGTCAGAAAATGACAAGGAGGCATCGGGTGGAGACAGCCCAAAGGTAAGCACTGTTTGAAATGAAACCCGTACGTAACGTTTGCAGTGAATGCAGTGCTTCTGAAATTTTGTCAGCCACCTTTTATGCATGAAGCCATAGCCCAGCATTTCAAACTTCAAAATAACTGTGAGTTCTTTGTGATGAGACACGATGTTTATTCTGATGCTCCCATTCCCTCCTCACCTTCAAAGAGGGTCTGTGTGTGTGTGTGTTTATGTGTGTATCTTTGTAGGCATTCTTTAGTGGCATTTGTTTCTCCTTTTTTTTTTTTTTTTTAGTGTTAGTTTACAATTTGCAAAACAGAAGAGCAAAATTGTCTTAGTTTTTCTGTTGGAATATTCTGGTTGTCCAGAAGTGCTTAAGGCATTAATTGCTTTGCAACTCAGTTCATAAAGTTTTTACATGTTTATTGATGCAGAATTTTCATTTTTCTTCTGCAGGACGACTCCAAGCCACCTTACTCCTATGCACAGCTAATAGTACAAGCAATTACAATGGCACCTGATAAGCAGCTTACACTAAATGGAATCTATACGCACATAACTAAAAATTATCCATACTACAGGACAGCAGACAAGGGCTGGCAGGTAAGCTTGATTTCTAGAAGGTTCTCTTAGTTGAGAGCAGTGCTCTCTGCATACTTGGTCCTAAGTCAGTTGGCGAGCCCAATGGCCCTCTGTAAATACAACTTCTCAAATCAGTGTTGGTTAAAATTTATCTTTTTCTGATTGAATCTCCAACAAAGTAGGCAATTAACATTATTTTGTGTTTGAAGCATTGCTCTATTTATGGAATAGTACTCTCTAAAGCTCTGGCAGTGACACATACAGACTTCTGGGGAAGAAAAACGTAGCTAGAGCTGTGGATTTAAGCACATGTTAGTGTCTGGGGATGCAGTTCTGTTCTGTAACTTCACACAGCGTAAACATGCATGTTGTCATATTGGGATAGAATTAGGATACCTAATGTTTTGGGTTCAGGTTCATTTGGGCATTTGGGATCTTGACCATACAATACAGTGAAGGAGTGAGTACGTATGACTGTTGTTCCCTGCGCTGTGTGCCTGATGCACTTCTGCAGTATTCCATTTGTGAATGGGTTGTTTCTGTTCTGAGTTAGACCAAACCCTGTAGAATTAATTTCTGCTTTCTTTTCACTTTCCAAGAGACTAGCCTCAGCATTTGCCAGGATGACTAACGGAGTATGAATCAGTCTGGCACAGTCTTTCCAGATACACATAAGGGTTCAATGCCTTTGCTGCTGTTTTTAGTGTCAGTGAAGGACAGAAGAGCACAATTAGCAGGACTGGCAAGTTTGCATATGTGGCATTCAGGCTGCACTGTCCATCATGAAGGATCATTTTCACAGTGCTGCTCTTAGCACAGTCATGATGTACAGCAGAGGCATGCTCTGAACTTCTTTGCAAGGAAATAAAATCTGGGGAGACTGAAGGAGGGTAAAAGTGAGGAAGTGTATCTGCTTGCTGTACTTACAGGAGACCAGAGAGTACACACCTTGTCCGTAAAGGAATGGATTTCAAATATGAATTACGTGCTAATTTGTCATAGAGCCTATATGAAAGTTGAATCACTCATAGGAGAATTGCAAGGTTAATGGGGAATGGCACTTCTACAGGGATTTTGTAATGCTTTGGCTAGTAAAGGACTTCACTCTTCTTGTGACTGGGAAGGACCTGTAAGATTTTTTTTTCCCCTTTCTCAAGTGATCAGTGAAGAATTCTGGTTGCAGAAATACTGACAGATATGTTTTAGCAATAGGGTTCTGCTTACAAAACGTTGGCGTGCTTTTTGCTTCCTGATTTGGAATCATTATCTGTGCATATAATGCTTCCTTATGTGAGCGAGCCTCATGTAGTCACACACACACATACAGTGTAACACACAGAATTCTGGCTTAGGACAAAAATGCTTGACTGAACCAAGGTGATGGACACAGCAAAGCAGACGTGTTCCAGAATAAATAGTTAGCACCTATTTCTACTGAAAAACAAAAAAGCAGCTGGAAATGAGATGCTGTTAAGTAACTCAGTCACATAAACAGTGCAGGAGCACTGACAGGGGCAGCTCATGTGTAACATCTCTGCTAGCTTTTAATTATCAGGTATTAGATGATAGGTAAGGTGACTTATCTGATTGATGCCATAAGTAATATTTGAGGCTATATTTGAATATTATTCAAACCAGACAGTACATGCATGCAAATAACGTCCAGATCCCATCCCTTAATTAGCAGCACTGCAGTATTTATATCCCCTATTACATAAAACTCATTTCGTTGAGGACTCCTCTTTGTGATCTTATTTTAGCAGGTGCTTTTGGATCTACTTTTTTGTTCCAGCATATGGAGAAATAAATACAATTTATAGACATGTTCTTGGCATCTTTTCAGTTCTTTTTCAATTTTTGGCTGAGGAAAAGATTTTCTGGTTTCATCAGTTCATATTTAAGAAACCATGCATGGTTATCATTAATTTTTTTTTTAGGTGTTCCAAACTTATTCCCAGGGTCCCAAATGCTGACACTTCAGCTGGATTTACATTTGATCTTGGAAATTTTGAGGAGCTTTTATTAATGTAAAGCTTTTTCTCCATTCCCCCCCCTCTGTTCTCTCACAAGTTTTTCAGTACTTATTCTTGTACTTACTTTCTTGTTATTCAGTGACAATATTTAGAAAGATTTGGGATTTATATTGGGGAAAGGAAGAAAAAAAGGATGTGCACAAAGGCAAGCAGAGATAGATACAGACACTTCGGAGCATTAGCAGTTCTCTGCATCTCTTTGATCAAAGTTGTGTGAGTTGCAGCACAAACAGCCACGTGAGGATGAGGTAGCGTGCAAACCAGGCTGGAGTAACAGGGATCTCACCGAGGAGCTGCGTGAGGACCTGCTGCCATTTGTTGTCCTGCTGGACATGCTGAGTCCTTGGCTGCTCTGCTGAGACAGGCTGGACTGTGGGTGAACTCCCAACAATCTCAGTATTTGGAGCTTGTGAAATTTAACCTTTTCCTTCTGTATTTGGAACAGCAACAAAGTGTAATCATGTAAGATCAGTATCAGCACATTCTTTCCTGGCCCTCATAGTACAGTCTGATATTTTCCTTGACACCTGGGGAAGGGTGGTATTATGAGGACATGAGGGCTGCTATTTTTTTGTTTTTTTGCACTGCATTATGGTCAAATACTTGTAGTGTTCTAACTGTGGAAGTCACCATGTATCACATTAACATACTGGTTTTTAATTGTTGGGAAAGATTTGGAAAATGCCAGAGTCCTTTGAGGTTCATGGCGCTGCGTTGGCAGTGTGTGACTCCTGTTGAAGTATGGAATTAAAGAAACTGAACCCCGAGTTTCCTGTAGTACACATTGCTGCAGTAGGCCACATTCTGACTTGAAAAAGTTATATGAATTCTACATATTTTTTTATGTTCCATAGAATTCAATACGTCACAATCTCTCTCTGAATCGTTATTTCATCAAAGTACCACGTTCCCAGGAAGAACCAGGCAAAGGCTCATTCTGGAGGATAGACCCTGCCTCTGAAAGCAAATTAATAGAGCAGGCTTTTAGGAAAAGGCGGCCTAGGGGAGTACCTTGCTTTAGAACCCCTCTGGGACCACTCTCTTCTAGGTAAGGAAAAACAGATGAACAAAAAGACTATGGCTGTTGTTTAATCTTCAGGCTGATACAGACTTGATAGTTTTGGATACAGTCACAAGTTCAGTAATTTAATTAAATCCAGGCTCAGTGTTTGAATTCTGTATGATAAACTTTGCTAGGAGGCTGCCCCATACGCTAGGTTTGTTTTTATTGCTTGTGTTAAGAACTGACTCTGTATGCCTAACTGTCAGATGTTAACGTAAGCAAGCCTTGCTGTACCTTTGTTGTGTTGTTTTTTTCTTTACAGAATTACAATTTTAATTTCTAACTGCCATCTACAGAATTCTAAAACAGTTTACAAAGAAAATAACCAAATACCAGCTACCATTATTTTGAGCTTAGAAATTACAAGTGTGCGTTTTAATTTGATAATGTTCAAGCAGAATTTGTGATGGGGAAATACATGGCTTTTAATGATTCCCTTTGTAAAGTTATGACCTTCTTGGTGGTGCACATTTTTTTGAGTTGCCCTTTAGTCCAATACATTTACATCCTTCTCCACCAAAAGAAATGTTTATATTTCACAGATGGTTTTAGGGAGTCTCCCTAGGAAGGCATCCAGCCGCTTCCATTCCATTAACTGCACCTGAAGTTTGCTTTTAAATTCTGTTCTTGTTTAACAGAAGCTTTTTCAAAACTGCTCTGGGTTTTAACTGTACTTGCCAGAAGGCACAAGTGCCCTCCTGTGGGCAGTGTGTGTTACAGTCTCTGTAGAGGAAGGTCGCTGTCTTTCGCAGTTCAGAAGTTAAAACACGTCAGCTGCTGCTTTCGTTTTTGAATACAGAAGTGCCCCAGCCTCTCCTAATCACTCTGGAGTGCTGTCTGCACACTCCAGTGGAGTCCAGACCCCCGAGAGTCTGTCCAGGGAAGGATCTCCAGTCCCAATGGAACCTGAGCCTAGTGCTATCCAGCCAAAACTAGCGGTAATACAAGAAGCACGATTTGCACAGAGTGCCCCAGGTGAGGATCCTGAAAGAAGCGTGTGGGGGTTGGAGGTGGGAGAGGGTTGGCATGTCCGTGTTACCAGGGCTTTGCATAGAAACAGAAAGAAACAACAAAGAGTAAATGTTTAGTGTCTTAAAATACATAACAAACACTGAATAATGCACACGTATTCCAGGCAAATACTCTTTGCAGACCCACAGGTGATGTTATCTCTGGGTTCCAGAACCCTTGATTGCTTTAATTGTAAGCAGAGATTTGTACTTCTGTGCTGAATTGAGCCATGCTGCCTTGTAATGGCTTTTGCTATGTTTGGAAATGTGCTCTTTCTGGATCAGAGGAAAAAACAAACAAAAAAAAACCAACCAACCTAAGTGTAGGCTATGGAAAGAAGCAGATGTCCTGCATGCATCTGTGGTCATTCCATCTGTTTGATGCTGGACATAGAACTGAATTACAAGGCTAAGGAGACAAGGCACAAATTCTCCTTAAAAAATAAAAACAAAACAAACAAACAAACAAAAAAAAACACCAAAAAAGAGGGGAAGGTGAAATGGAATAAGGATTGTTAGTTTAATTACGTTAGCTGATGCACTTTGCCATCCATCTTCTCAGTGATATTCCTGCGAAAGTAGCAGTGACTGTTCTGTGACAAAGCCAGCAGCCCTCAGCAGGGGCTGGGAGGCTGGGAGTTGTTCCTCTGTGGAAAGCTTCCATGCAGCACTGAAGCACACGTTAGTTCCCATCTGTGGAAGGAGTTTCACTGAATGAAGATGGAACGTAGCTGTGGTAGCTGCAGGGCTGTGGTGGGGGGTGGAGCTCCTGCCCAAATCAGCAGCTCTAACTGAGCTAACGAGGCGCTTACCTGGAATATGTGGCTTGGAGGAGTTGTGCTGTAATCGATGTCTGCTTTTGTCAGGGATGAGTGAAGGAGGTCGTTAATCCTCTCAGGCTTTAGCAGTAAGTTTAATAGAACGACTGGTTTAAATGACATAATTCAGCAGCCTGATTCTTCTCTCTCTTCCTTGCTAGGATCACCTCTATCTAGCCAACCAGTTTTAATTACTGTACAACGGCAGCTACCACAAACTATTAAACCCGTCACCTACACTGTTGCAACTCCTGTGACAACATCAACATCCCAGCAGCCTGTAGTTCAGACAGTTCATGTTGTTCACCAGATACCAGCTGTGTCTGTCACAAATGTGACTGGATTAGCACCAGCAAACACTTACACTGTAGCTGGACAGGCAGTAGTCACGCAAGCTGCAATGGTAACCCAGCCCAAGGTAGAACCTCAAGAGAATGGAGACCACAAGGAAGTAAAAGGTGAGAACCTGTGGGTTGGTTGCTCTGGTTGGTTATTATTCAGAAATTATTTCCATGCTAAAACTGAGGATTTGCATTGTAATTTCTCACATAGCTGGGAGCTCATAACATAACAGTATGCATCTTCACTGAGGGCTGGCATAGTAAATGTGAATTGTTGTTTCTTTTTTTAATGCTTTCTTGTTTTTCACTGATGCTTTCTCATCTGTTTTTCAGTGAAAGTGGAGCCTATACCTGCTATTAGCCATGCTACAATCGGAGCTGCTAGTCGTATCATTCAGACATCTCAGACTACACCTTTACAGACAGTCACTATAGTGCAACAGGCACCTCTAGGTCAACACCAGCTACCAATAAAAACTGTAACGCAAAACGGAACGCACATAGTACCCATCACCACTGCAATACAAGGGCAGGGCAATGCTGGTGAGTGTTGTGTCGGGCTGTTCTGCTGCTCTGGCCGTGCTAAAACCTCACAGTGGCCAGTGCTGAATCTTTTCTCGTGCTTTCTCCTGTATTTTGTAGTCGTACTGAAAACATAATTCGTACTAAAAAATTTGATGACAGCCTTGTGAGAGATTGTTCTCTCTCTTGGTGAGAGCTCATGTTTCCTTTTCATTGGGGATTACCTGAGAGCTTTTTATTGGCTCTGCGGTCGCTGTAGGGATGTTCCAGTGATGACAGCCCATCTTCTCTTGTCGATAGGAGTTGGACTCGATGATCTTTAATGGGTCTCTTCCAACTCTTTGTGTTCTGTGGTTAAACCCACTGGCTTTTTGGACTGTTACTTTTTTCTTGTTTTTATTCAACCTGTACCAAAGCAGGGTGCTAAAATTAACGAGCTTTCTCTGATTTTGAGGTGGTTCTGTCTGCATGCTGTCTGTCCCATCTCAGACTCAGCAGTCTGTGTGAGCAGTGGTACCTCTTCACAATTCTTATTATTCAGCCTTTGTGTGATTTACAGATACATTCAATTTTGGATTGGTTTGCAGATATATGTAGTTTGTTTCAACAGTTTCACTTTTATACGTTATCTGGTGCTGCAGTATTTTCTCATAAATTACACTTCTGGAAATTGATATAAGGAAGCCCAAAACTCTTCATTACATGCATTTATTTCAGTAAAATCCTACTAATGGAGTGAATTATTTGTTTTGTATCCTTTTTACTTCCTTCTCTGTCATCAGTTCTCTTACTGAAGTACAGTACTTATAGGTCAGTGTTCTGTCTGCTTCTGCTTCATTTCAGCACAAGTAAAGCAAAGGGAGTTACTGTCAGACTAAATGCACATTTTTTCTTTAATCGGAGTTGAGCCAAGAGTCACATGAAGTGTTTTCCAATGAGTTTGTTCTGCAAGTACACACTGAGTACAAGGCAGTTTGGTTATTTGCAGTGGTGATTCCAGGTATTCACTGGAATAGTTTACTAAGAACCAAGAACTTCAGCAAATATGAATTCCTTGAGCTCTTGATGTTTGAGCTCCACTAACAGAATTCCATGGTATTCTCAGCAAAGCTGTGATGCCAAAGACAGGGAGTTAATGTGTAAAAAGCAGGTCAGTAGATGGTGTTTAGACAAGCTTTCATGAAATGCAGTGAACAAGTAAATACATAATTGGTATTTTGTATTATTTGCCAAAGACATTTGAATAGTCAGATGAAGAAAATCAAAATTGAGAAACGACCTTCTAACAGTTAGAGGGAAAGCACCCTTGGATGTGATGACTGCAGGACTGCTTGCTTGTAATGGTGACTGGTGTGCTGTTGTTTCCATGTAATGACAAGTATGACAATCTGCTATAGCATGTTTTAAGCACTTACATTTCTGTTATCTGATTCACTTTCATCAGACAGTAATTTCTTAAACCTTCTCATTAAGCCACTCTTGTTTTCCTTACACTGTGGGTGATTAACTGTCTATCAGAGAGGAAGTGATGCTCGAGTTATCTGCATCTCCTGGCTGTGTGCTTTGCATTGCTTTTGTTGAATAACTCATGGCCAGCAATGAATATGAGCTGCTGCTGTTCTTCCTGGCCAAGCGCTGCGTTGTGCACAGAGAGGATCTGCACATCCACAGCCATGGCCAGATCCTCCTTCAGGGAGGTTCTAAATTCCCTTCCCAGTTGTGTCACGGATATTTCAGAGGTTGGCTTTACATCATTTAATCTCTTTCTGTGTTCAGTTCCCCACTGACAGAATGGAGGTACTTTCCCTTTTTCCCACCTCTGTCCCTGTCTGTGTGGTCGGTGAGTGATTTACAGCAACGTCTGTGGGTTTGTGCAGAGGTTAAATGGTTGCAGCTGAATCTCACCTGGGCTGACAGACGCCCTGCTGTAGTGCAGCGCTTTGATGGCAGTGCGTGTTTGCTTTCAGTCTCACCTGTTCCATCGAGGATTAGGTGCTGAAGTTGTGTTATCTTTTTGCAGCTGCTGCAAGTCCTTTGCATATGTTGGCAACCCACGCGTCCGCCTCGGCATCGCTTCCAACAAAGCGCCAGAATGGAGACCAGTCGGAACAGCAGGAACTGAAACGTATCAAAACAGAGGATGGGGAGAGCATAGTGATAGCTGTTAACGTGGACACCCCGCCTGTGGCAGTGAGCGATAAAGGCAGCCAGAACTAGAAACTTAGAGTTTGCTTTCTTTCTTTCTTTCTTTTTTTTTTTTTTTTTAAACAAACAAAAACAAAAAAACACACACAAAAAAAAAAAAACCAACAACAAACTCCGTGGTGCCAAAAGGAGACACTTAAATATAACACCTAAAATCTTGGAACATGTTCTCACGCAGTGGGGAAAGGGGCCCTGTGATCAGACTTCAACGTTCAGCACTGAAAAATAAACCAACACAGGTGGCCTTAAAACTTGGTAACTTAAAGTCAAACTGCAAAACATGTTGTTCCAGAGGCTGTGACCCCGCTCCTCCCTGCCCCTATGAACTGTGTGCGCTGAGAAGTACAGTGCTGGGGAGGGCTGCAGCTTTAAAAAAGTCTTTATCAGATGATTTTAAGGACTGAGCATCTCAGTGTAACGGCAGCATGATAAGCGCTTAGTGTGAACTGGTTTCAAACGATTGTATATTCCTCAAAGGGAACAGAGGCAAGGAGCCATTTCCTACATCTTGGCAGCTAGCCTTTCATAATGACCTACCCAATGCAGTTGTTGGTAGATATGCAGTATTTTGTTGTTCACATGTGGAATTAGAAATTTTTGAGGTGTATTTTCATTTCTTTGCAAAACGATGGGGTCTTTGACATTTCAAATCACTCCATTTCTACTCCGGAAACTTTGGAATCACACAATACTTTTCATGTGAAATTTTGTTTGGTAAAAAACTGAATGTAGGGTTTTTTTAACCGACGGAATGATTTACTTTTGTCTGTCCTCTTAAAGTTCAGATAAAGCTACTTTATTACATCTGCAAATTTTCATATTTTAGCAGTTGCCTGATAAATTTAATCAAATTTTATTACCATGTGTAGTGATCAAATGCTTCTTTGGGCTTGCATGTAACTGATTAGAAATTACGATGTAAATGAGCCGTTAACTGACGTAAAGAACTGCTATGAATTTGACCAGAGCTGCACTTATCTGTTTCTCTCTCTGCTACCTTTTGCTGTTTGTTACTTTGTGTTGACTTTGACTGTCCCTGGCATATTTTTCCAGTCTAAAGTAAAACGAGAGTCTCGCTTAATATTGTGTATGTTTAAGATAACAGACTGTTCTTCATTTAGAAAAGATAAAATTCTTTATCACGAGTCCTTTTAAAAAGAGAGTTAAAATTATCTTGTCAGAGGTATATTCGATATTTTTAAGCTTAAGCACCCATCTGTAGGAATTAATCTGACCAGTTTTCTCCGTAACACTTCTGATGTCAAACACTGACCCGGGTCTCCATCCACAGTAGCTGTTGTGGTTTTCTAACAGTGGCTACCGAATGATTACAATAAAGAAGACTTAAGTGTGTGTTCTGCAGTTGAACATTTTAAAATGTAGTGGCAATTTCTCACTTTAATTGTGGTAATAGATTCCACTTTACAGTAAAAAACGCGAGCTGAGCGCGAGGCTGCTGTTCAGTCTTCAGTTCACATCATGTCTTATTTCTTCTCGCAGCACGGTGAGTGAGCGCTGCACAGCTGGCTTGATTTGAACCTGATTTTTGTCACTTTCTGTAATAATGATGCATTATTTATATTTCCTTTTCCGCTACGAAAGGAAAAGAACTGTGTTTTCTCGACGGACTGAACAGTTTGGAGTGGTTTATTGAGGCAGCTTTTGGAACTATTTACCTAAAGACCAAATACGAGAAATCTGTACAAGTTTTGTGTTCATCCACAAAATGGAACTGTTACAATGATGTCTCTGCAGATAATACATATTAAAAATCTATTTAAAAAAACCAACAACAGAACTCTACACAAGCTGAATTTATAACAGGCATTTAAAACAAAGAGCGTAACCTGAAAAAAAACCATTTCTGTAAAACTGCAAGATTTTCTTTAGAGGTTTTAAAAATAAAAAAGTAAAGTTTTAACATACTTTTTTTAAGAAAACAAAATCCAGTACTAGTAATTTAATTTGGTGTTGAATGAATCGATTAGAATGTGGTTTATTTTCAGAAGTGAGAATCTGTTCACAACTAGGGCTAGGTGAATAATAGTGTATAAGATTTTTTTAAATAAAATTAAATTTTATTCAGCAAATTAACTAAGTTGGAATGACTCAACAAGTGTGTTTGACAACCGTGCAACACGTGCAACGTCGTGCTGACGGTGCAGAGGCTGCCGGCGGCGCTGAGGAAGCGCTGCTGGTGTGGCAGCAGCTGGGACTCTGAGCACAGGGATGTGTGGATGTGCTTTGGGCCCCGTTCTGTAGTGCTGCTGGTGGCACACATTGGTTGTGTGGGGTTTGGAGCTTTGCTCGGATGGAGAAACCCTTCAGTAAAGCCGTGCAATAGGAGAAGACCGCTCACCTTTTCCGTACAGCGCCGTGTTTGTGGTGATGCTGACCTTTGGGATCATCTCTCGTCTGTTTGTCGGGTGCAGGTTCCTCTGCCTCGCTTGGCACCAGGCTGGGCAGTGGGGCTGTTCCAGGGTGTTGCACCCTGCTGTGTATGCAGCTGTGTGCTTCCCCTCGTTGGTACAGCAGTGCTTCCCACGCGGTATTGCAGGCTGAATGGCGCAGCTGTCACACGGCTGTGTTTCAGCTGATGCTCCTGACCTTTCTGAAATTGCTCTCAGCCATGGACTCCTGGAATCAATGTGGTTTTTCTTTTGCAAACAGAAAATTTCTTGAGATGGTTCTTGCTTATGAAGATTTGACCTCTCTAGGGTTGATGTCACCTGTCTGTTAACTTGTATGTTTTGCAGTGCTTGGTGTGATTTCCTTTTGTGCTCCTGCGCAGCCAGTTTGGTGTTCCATCTGCTGAAAGCTTATGTGTAGTCCTTGAAAATGGTTGGGTGTAAGCAAACAACATACAGTGTTCTAATTGGAATTTAAGGACAACTTAAAAAACAAAGAAACAACAACCCAGCTTAATTTTCTTTAGAGCTGCCCTGATTTTCATTGCCTGTCATTGGGTTTGCTGCAAGGTGTAAAAGATTCAGGAATCTGATCTAATTTTCATCGTGTCTGGTTGCTTTCCTCCCTGCCCCTCCCTTTCTAAAACAGATTCAGAATTCTGATATACAGCAGACCCAACCACGCATCTAATTCTGGTGACAGATGCCTTTATCTGCACTGCCAGCATGTTGTGTCCTTCCGTGACGTAGCTCCCAGCCTTCCCACCCGGTTTGTTTCTGTGTTGTGGCCCCAGATGCAGCCAGCACCAATGTGGGGATGGGGAAGGAGGCGGCATCTGGACAGATGACATCTTTGCCTTTGGGTGTGACAGCTCTGTCCTCGTGCTGGATGTCGTCATGGGGTTGTGGGGTGTCTCATACAGCAAAGCAACGCTGAGTCTTCCATGAGAGCCAGAGGGCTGTGGATGGGCTGGGAAGAAAAGCTGCTTCTGGTCAGTGCGTTGTCTCAGTTTGGAGTTGCTGCACCGTCTCCTCGCCCACCCTCTGCAATTATCTCAGCATGTGAAGCACAACAGCAGCAGCCCTCCTCGTGCCGGCCTTCCTTCTGATGGTGCAGGTAAATATGATGCTATTCCCTCTCACACCTGAGAGCACTCCTGCTTTGGAAGTGCTTTGCAGCGCACGCTGTTGGCTGGGAGGCAAAGCTGGGAGGACTTCTATGTTCCCTTTGATGGTATTTGTAATGCAGGTTCATTTTAAACTTGGAGCTTTTACAATTACCTCACTCCATAAGTGGAACTTCAGGTAACAGTCTGTGTTAGAATGTTGTTGTAAATTGATTCTGGTTTCCCAAAAAAGGTAAGTTTTGGTTGGAAGAGGTTGGAAGTCACTGATACAGACTTTGATTTAGATAGTGTGAATTTGATAGTTGTGAGATAGATACGCAGCAGCATTTACACCACATCCAGTGCTTCCATTAACCTTTCTGTACTTGTCTTAACTACATGGTATAACATTCTTACTGCGAATCCTCAGTTGCTTGGTATGTAGAGTGAGGCCTTCGTTTATTACATAATAATAAGCTGTAATATTTTGCCTAGGTCTGTGGAGCTTCCTGAAATGATTGTTTTGCTTCAAAGCCTGACACAAAATTAATCGATAAAGAGAGCATCTGAAGTTGGGAAGTGCAGGGCCTGCTTTAACCGCCATGTTCATCTTTGTGCAGCTGGTTTCTTTCCCAGCTAATGTTCAAGCCCAACCTGCTTTTTTTTAATTTTTTTTCTCCCTATCTTTCCTCATCTTAATCCATGAGAACCCCGTGCTGGCATTTGGTGCTGAGGTCAGGGATGCAGCCAGAGAGCGGCGGTAGCTCAGGGATTGGATTTTGGCACAGATGTGGCTGTGGCTTCTGGTGCCTGCTGGCAAATACTTGGAATTACCTGGAAATTAATTGCTAATCTAGTTTTCCTTTCAGGACAGTGGCGTGACACAGCCACTATGGAAAGAGAGAAGAAAACGAGGAAGAGGTGGTGTTTGGTTACGTGTAAATAACAGACAAAACCTAAGATGACAGTAACTGAAATCCTGCTGCTGGTGGAAACGCTGCTTTTCAGGAATAGCGGTAACTTTAGACTGACCAAATGTGCACCTTACTCCTGACTGCCAGCAGATGCAGCCTGCACCACAGGCAGCTGCACTGAAAGGAATAAAAGCTATTGGATCTGTGGATGGTGATGCTCACCTCCAGCTGACAATTTGTCATTTTGAAATGTATTTAATCCTCTTTTGTCACGTAGAACAGACTTCTGACTGCTTGCCTTGCTCGCAAGGAGCCGGTTGCTCACTCTGGTCCTTCAGTTGCCTTGTGTTCACTGCGTGCTCCTCCATGTGAACAAAGCAAGTCCTGACAGCCTGCCCAGGAGGACCAGAGCGTGTCTTTGTCAGAGCTGGAACACGGGTGAGTGTCGCTGTGAGGCAGCGCAGGGGGCTGTGCTGGTGCCACTGTTAGTTCTGAGCTTCAGTGTAACTGGATGCTTCAGCAGTGCAGTACCGTAAATAAATCAGCAGGGTGGAGACGTGGTCTCGTTCTTCAACCTTTTGGAGAGAGCAGCTAAAATACTGTTAATGTGGTTGTAGAGGTACGTTGATCAAGTATTGCTTTTACTGCAATCGTTTTCAGTTAGAATGATGTACTTCATGTTCTGCGCCCAAAAGTGATGTAAGGAAGCACTGGCTGAGCAGCCTGCAGCCTGCAGCAGGTGGGAAGACCTATTTTTAACTCATTTTCAATGGCTGTAAAGATGTAGAACGAGGCCGTGGCACTGCAGTCAGTATATTTAGCCATGTGCTATGGATTCAGTTGTCAGTTTGTCAGTGTTTGGGTTTGTAGTTGGTGTCACACCAGAACAGGGAACATTTTATGTTTGGAAGAGCTTTAATTATCCAGGCAGTCTGCTCATAGTCTTTCTGGTCACCGCTATGGTTGATTGAATGGAAGGTCAGGGGATGGTGCTTCAGTAGATGATGAGAGGTGAAACCTTCAAGGCAGTGTGCAGAAGGCTTCGTGTTTAGTTAAAGTCATTTCCTTGCTTTGTGCAGCTGACTGAGCACGAGCAGCTCTCTGCAGTGCATGTTGCTGAGGCAGAGGGAAAGGATCATCCTTACAGAACAGTTTCTGATGGCTTCCTGCCCTGCTCCTGGGAGACCGCAGTCCAGTCATTCTGCTAATGCAGCAGTTAAGGGTGAGCTTCAGAACAGCAGCACATAGGGATGGTGCAGTAAACAGTGATGCAGTAGGGATCCAGAACAGCACTGGTTTGCACTGGAAGTGGGACTGGTGCTGAGATGGTCTCTTTCTGGTATAAATAGCAGCATTTCCTAGGCAGCAATCTCTGCACTTCATGGCCTGCATTACCAGGCTCCAAGCAGCACAAATCTGTTTGTCCTCTACCATCCAGCACTGTTTGCTCAGCTAAATATTCCCTAAAGCCTGCAGCAATAGGAACTTTGGGTGTGATCGTGAGTACAGCAAAATTAGTCACTTTTATTTAAAAGAAATAACATATTACAAATAAGTGTGCAAAACAATTTGTGATTAAATACACATAAAAGCAACATGCAACCTTGACATCGAAGTCTGCGTAGAAGTTAGTCCTCAGTATGTTACATGACACTAAAAGAAACTGTCAAATGTAGAGAGTCTGCACCTAAACAATCTTAATGTGAACTGGGATGTCAGATTTGAAGCATCTGTGAAATTAAATTTCAGAAGAGCAAGACTTCCCTCCCCCAAGTGCCGAGAGCTTGTGTCTATTTCAGTTCCTAGTTTAGTATTTTGTGCCTTAACCCAGCATTAAATCTTAACTGCTGCACAACCTGGGGAAAGAGTTTGCAACTGATTTATTCTAACCTACCCCTCCTAAGGTAAACGTAATGCAGTACAACATCTCAAAGAAAAAAAAACAACTTTGCACATTTAAAGCCAGTGCAGAGCAGCTGCTCTGTGCCACCTGGTTCATGTATTGCGCTGGATGCGTAAGCAGCCACTCCACTCTTCCAGTTGAAGTACAGGAATTTTCCAAGCAATCTGTACAGCTGTGACAGCAGGACCACGGGTGGTGGTTTTTCCTTTTGAACCTGGAACGGCTGTTCCCTTACAGAAGGAACTGCCTCTACAGCTGCAGGAGTTCCCCATGCCCGTGTCCTGGCTGCTTGCTCCACGCACTGAGGAGAGGTTAGTTGGGTCAGCAAATGCCTAAATGTGCCTTCAGCTACTATGTACAGTTTGGCACCTTTTGACCATTAGTGCTGATCATTCAACTCAGCCACTGTGGGCAGGTGGACACAAGCAGTGGGCTGCAGCCACAGGACGACCCCCAGCCAACCAACACGGCTCAAGCTCCAGTCTTTTCTGGCTACGCACCTCTCCTCTGGTACACTGAGATGTGTTCAGGGAAAGGGGAAAGGCTGAAGTCCTTTTGTAGCCCGGCTGGTGGAGTTATATTTGGGTTTGAGTGGAAGTATTGCCCCCCACTTCCGGCACTGCCTAAAATCTTCTGCTTTCACATCCCTTTTTCTAAGGCTAGTCCTGACATTTGCACAGCGCCCTGCAGATCTTTCAGTGTGGCAGGCACTCGTGTTTTAACTGAAGTCATTTCACAGTTTAAAGAGAAACCCAATAGGCACAAGCTTTTTGAAAGCCACAACTTGAAAACTTGAATTGATGACAGTAATCCAAAGAGATTTTAATGATGAAAGCTTGCAGAAATGAGAATAAACAAATGTAGTCCCCTACTTCAGAGCTTGTTCCGATCGTGGTGGGCCAGGCTTCTCACTGAGGTCTGCTAAACTTCTTGATCAGCATTGGACATTCATATACTGTCCTCCCAAAGATGCAGAATAGCCAAGGCAGTACTTTGACCTGTGCACTCCCTCACTTCAGTCAAAGCTTGTCATCGGTCATTTCGAGAAACTGAGCATAGACATCCCTTGAGCATTCCCCTTTTTGGTTGAACAAGAACTTGTAGTAGCTGCCATCTGCACATATTGCTGAAACAAAAACAAAGTCATTTTCAGTTCAGCTGTTTGAGAAGTGCTGTTCTCTTACCTCGTTTAAACTGACAGAGGTGTCCTGCAAGAATCTGAAAAGCCTGAGATAAATTGCTCCTCATGCAGTGTCTGTCAGCCTGCCAGGTGGCTGCGCTGTGAGCAGGCCCTCAGCCCAGTCTGGCAGCAGCAGCTCCTGCTCACACCTGCCACGCTGTCTCATCTGAACACTCCTTCCAGCTCCAAACAAGCATGGTGCAAAATCTGCTTCTCCAGACAGAACCTGGAGGACCCCCTGGTACTTACCTAAGACAGCATTTGGCTCTGTTCCAAAGGCACAAATGCACGGAGAGCCTGAGGGAACCTGAAATTTGGAGAAACTCCATTTGGAACTGAAGTACTTAGGGAGAAAGCTGGCAGAGGCCAAACTGAAAGGAAGAAAAAAAAGAAACAGACAACTCAGTGAAGCGTTGACCAGTGTTGACTTAGAAGTGCTGGCACATCTGAACAAGTCTCAGGGCTGCTACTGTAACTGACTGCCTGTTTCCTTCAGCTAAGCATCAGGCAATATTTGCAGTTCTGCTCCCAGGGACGGGTGACTGTACAACTACCTTTCTGGCTTTCTGGGTTTTAAGTGACTGCCAAAACTGCTAAGAGGACTGATTTTAGTAGAGATCCCTTTGTGTAACTACCACAGTATGATCGTGCTATGAATAAATTCCTCAGCCACTGGAAAAGCCCCACCATCCCACTGGAAGAACTCTACAGCTCCATGAAGGGCAGAAAAATGGCAGTTGCTAAGCAGTCCTAAATTTGCAGTTATATTCAAGCAGAACAACAGATTACTATTAGCAGCTCAAGTGGCAGCTCAAGTGATGTAGGTATTGGTTGTTGCTGTTGCTCGGGGAGCCATTATCTGACAGGCCCAGTGCTTTATTGCAAGGGCAGCCAGTCCTTCCACGCAGGCTTCGGAATGGCTTAAAACCTACCTTGACTGCTTATTTCTTTTGGGGTCTTCTGCAGCAAAAATATGTACTGTGCCATGGTCACTGGATACGCAGATTAAGGAAGCATCCTGATTGAAGTTAATGCTGTAGAGAATAAGGACAGCTGCAGTATTTCCACTGAAACATATCCCCATTTCCTGTGTGTAAAATCTCACTTATGCTGTTGTCTGGGGCAGCTGTCATCCTGCCCGCGGAGGTGTTAATGGCTCCTCCAGTTCAGTGCAGTTTTGCTGACTGGAATGAACACCTCTTCAGAGGTAAGTACACACATCAGAACACAGAGGACCTGGTTCATCAGTAACAGCCAAGCTGCAGACTGCCCTGGGATGGACACAACTGACGTGATCTGTTCTGCCACTTGTATTAAAAGAAAATGTACAGTTGCTGCTCCAATCAGCAGACAGGTAAATACAATTAAATACAATGGGAAACACTTCTACACCCAAAGGCTGAGGCTAAGTAGAAGAAAGCAGTTTTCCCCCTCTTCACTGGAAAGTGTTTCAGGCAGCGGACTGAGAGTCAAACTTCTGCCTCAGGCTCTTGCACACAGGGAGGCAGTGTGTTACGATAAACGTTATGCTCACACCAGGTACTCACCCTCCTGGTCTCTCTGGGAAGCATTCAGCTGCATTGCTGCCTTCCCCATATTCCCGTGTGAAGTTCCCACCCAGCTACAGCCTGTTCTATACAGAAATGTGCATCTACCAGGGTGCAGCCCTAGGCACGGTCCCACTGCGATGGCTTTTCCTCACCCATACTGAGCAGAGGAAGCAGCACAGTGCACACAGTCCCCAGCGTGGCCCTGGGCCCCCTGACCACCAAAAGTGTTTTGCTTTGTGCCCATGGCAGTGCAGCTTTCCTTTGCTTTTTGAAAGAGGCTCGGCTGCCATTCCCCAGGTGTAACAGCACCCTAAAGAAGACAAAGCAGAAGCAATTAAACATACCAGTATATATTGGCCGCCTGTGATCCTCTGCGTAGCTCCTGGATTAAATGCCCTGATGAAGTATCAAATATTCTTATGAGGGTCCCCTTGAGAAGGAATCGAGCATTGTATTAGGACATACAGTACGTTCAATATGGCTGTTTGCCTGAAACAAATTGTCTGAAAATGCTGTTTGAGCTCTATCCAAAAGAAAAACTGAAAGCCACAGGAATAGTCTCTTAGCATCATCCAGTAGCTCACTATTCTTTTTAGCAGTGGAGTTTGCAGCTCGAAAAGCTCCATTCAGAAGAATTCCAGTAGCTATGCCTAGTTAAGAGAGACTGTGACTGCTTTTTTTCAGGCTTCTTTGAACTACGGGTTGTACAGCAGAACCTATTCCAAACACTGGTGGAATTAATTTAGATCATCCTTGAGAAACTCACTGTAGCTGAGGGAGAGAAGGCAGCAAGCACTCAGCCTGCCCCCTACACACCTGCCTTACGCTCACTGGGACAGCTGGGAGCCCTCCCTGGGAAGAGGAAGCTCAGGAGGCAGACTCCACTGACACCCATACAGGGACACAGGTCTGTGACTCGCTGTGTGTTCCCTCTACATGTCTGCATCAATCCCAAAGCAATCTGTACTACACAGGAATGCCAGGGTTTTGTCAGCATATTGAACTCTGCAGCCCTATGAAACTCAAGCCCACACAAAGTGCAGTCAGTTCTCCAGTAACCTTTATACTGGTTTATTTTTGCACACTATGAACACGCCTGCAGTGTGTGTATGAGAACTGCAGTCCTCCACTGTAAGTCCTGCTTGCCTGTATAACTTTAAAGCCAGTGAGTAAGAAAACTTAAATAGAACCTAACAAAGGTCTTTAAAAAAACAACAACTAACCAAAGAAAGCAAAACAAAGAAAATCCACTGAATAGTATTTACTGAAGAAAGCATGAACTGATGAACTGCTTGGGCCAAATTCCATACAAATTTCACTGAAGGGTCAGAGCTACAGTCAGCTAGAATATGAATGCTACCTTAAGTGCTGCATTTCCATTGCTGTTTGAATTTCCTGAAGAAGCAGTAAAGAAAAAAGTATGTTTCAAAGACAAATGGACCAGTGAGTTACATCTGTGCCTTTCCCATGAGAGGACACAACTCCCTATTTTGGAAGAGTTCCCACACTAAAATGGGCAGGAAGTCAGAGGTACGTGGTCATCGTTCTTACTTTCTCTGATGCTGTTGCAATTCTTGTTCCCTGCAGGTTTAATGCTATGCAGCTCAGGACGCCTTCGTGAGCAGGTATGTCCACGGGAGGCTTCTCTGTGTTGGCCAGATCCACGATCTGCACGTGCCCAGTGTGTGTTCCAGGAAACGCAAGGAGGGAATTATTACTATTTGGACAAAGGACACAGAGACCTGCAAAACAAAAAAAGGAAAATAACTTTGTAGCTTCCACGACCCAAAGCGTTGTTCAAACCAGTTTGCAAAATATCAGTAATTGGAGAACAAACATAAGTGGTCAATCAGAAATTCCTTTTAATGTCTTTTGGTATTGCAGAATCCCAAAATCCGATCCATCCATAGGTGCAGACCATAAAGAAGGAGCACAGCATAATTTTAACTCCCTCCCATCGTGACTTTAAAGTAATCTGTTTGCTATCCAACATCTAGGTGCTTTCAGAGATCGGCTCTGTCAGTCTGGTAGAGCAAAGCTATTTAAAATAAAATAAAATGAAAGTCTCCTTAGCAGCTTAAGAGAGCAAAGAGTTTGCAGCAGGTGACACTTTCATTTAGATTTCCACTCAGCCAGCATTTACTTCTCCAGTTTTAGACCTGCACTTAACAAAGCTCATCACAGGTGTGCAGCTGACCTGGAAACGTGTTCACCTCTTCACTCTCAAGGCTCTTCTTCCAGAAAGCCGTTCTGTTTTTTGGTAAGTAAAGGCACTGCAACTGACCTATTCCTTACGCCAAACCTCAGCCCTACCCACCTGTGCCAGAGCTGCTGTCCCTGCACTGCAGCCTGTCCAGGACACTGGCTGACATTTCCAAATCAACTCATTTCAACCAGAGACCAAAGTCATCCCTTGCTGATTAGTCTCTTTCTGACACTGTAGAGAACAAGTCTCCAGACAGTTCTACCTTCATTAGAAAAGAGGAATTGTGCCCTTGGTTGTTGATAATTTCAGCATTATGTTCACAGATGCTTTACATAAGAAAGCATGTAGCTCCTAGGGAAATCAAAGCAGTGACATTATAGGGGTAGAAGAAAAAGCTTTTCAGAGCCAAATGTGGATATAATTTAACAACCATTTTATAAACACAGATCACCTTCAAAGGGCATGGCTACGCTGTTGTAAGTAAAGTGTTGTAAGTAAAGTAAATGATTTACTAAGTGAAACAAAATCAGGCATGTACAGATAAACAGCAGTACAAGAACTAAATAAAACTGCTTCCATTCCCCAGCCCACACACAGCACTAACCTTTAGGGTTGTAGCAGGTTTCAAAGACGTGCAGCTGGTGGGGATTGTGTGTGAATGTGAAAACTTTAATCATGGAATCCAGGACTACCACAATTCTGAAAGACACAAGAAGTTCCTGACTTGGTGCAGGGTAGAAGACAGACGTATTAATTCAGATCTGCAGAGGCTTTCAACAGATTTAACGACTGTAATATTTGTTCCTACTCTCAGCCCTGCAAAAAAAAAAACACCCAAAACCACGCAACTATGAGCCTGCAAAGCACTTTTATCTGGAGCTGTGGCAGCAGAACCCGTCTGCCCACACATACACAGGACTCCAGCTGCTAGCAAATGCTCTTGCTCTAGATTCACTTGATTCACCTCACACACCATACCTACAGACACCACTGCCAGCAGCAGCCATATGAGAACACAGCCCTTTGAAAGAAGGCCACAAAGTCCCACAGGCTTTTTATCAGGCTTCAGATACGCTCCAATTGTGATCTGTTGACCTAAACACCTGCCCCAAGATCCTGTTTTAAATAAAGGACATCAGCAATGAAAGCTAAGTGTTACAGCAAAACCTTTTCATTTCTGTAAATGGCTGGAAATGAGTAAGAGCTGCTCATATAACCTACAAGGCCGACCATTTGGGACACGTGCTGCACCTACCTATCTCTTCGCAGCTTAACTGCTTTGACTTCTGTAGAAAATTCTATCTCAATGACAGTCTTCTTCTTCAGGTCATCCCAGATCATTACTGGAACAGTACAGAGATGACTGTGTTAGTTCACCAAAGCATAGCTGAATATCCATAGAGTCTCTATTAGAACAACTTCTAGTTTCTGAGAAGACCAACAGGTGCCTTCAGCAGCAAAGCCCTCACAGGTTGGCATTCTGCCTAACACCAACCCACCAACCCATTCTATGTCTCCTATAGGCAGGGGCTGGAAAACTCAAAATGCAAAAACAGATAATAAAAATATCTTCTACTAAAGACTATTTTTTTTCCTATTTCTTTATTTCATTGACAGCCCTCCCAATAAGGCAAAGTTTCCATACCAACCCTGCCAACCAAGGGCCGTTTCCCCCCAGAGCTGCTGAGCCAAGATCCCTTTGCAAAGCTAACCAAGCACAGCCTTTGTCACTGCAATGAGTCTGAGAGACTGCAGATAACTGTTAACAAATACTGAGAGCTGCTGCAGCAGCCCTTCCCTTCCAACCTTCAGAACACAAGAGCCCATCTCAAGGCTAGGGTTCAGGCTGGGTGGTTTCACACAGCTTAGCAAGACAAATGTTTGCAAACTGTTTGGTGAGACTCAAGGCAGTACCTTTGTTAGGAGGGTACTTGGGCTTCTTTCCTCCTCCTACGAGTGCTAAATAGTTGCAGCGAAATAACATTTCCACGTGGCCAACACCGCCCTCCGGAAATTCTGGAAGACAAATGTATTTCATTTAAAGCACCACAACCTGTGAAAATGCCTTTTAATTGCTACCAGAGTTACAGGGGAGTTCAAGTTATCCACCACGCTGCTCAGGCATCCACAAAGAATGGTATCTTCTTAACCAAAGAAAACAGGATCCTCCGTGTGGAGGTGACAGACAAGGCAAACCCGAGCACTGCATGACTGAGAAGGGTTGGTTTGTTTGATTTAAGTCCAGGAATCACAGTAAACTTGCTTTGTTCCTCACTCAGATCAGCTCAGATCACTGCTGCTCCTGTCAGCTGGGACAGCCCTCGTTTCACATGCAGAAAAAATCAGCAAGATGTTAAAATTCTATAGAAAGATGCTGCATGAGAGCAGATCAAGCAATACCACAGGAGAGTGATCGTTCCTATTACACACTAATGTTGTAAATATGTTTAGAAAGAATGAGTGGCCAGTTCAAATTCTTTCCCCAGCTAATTGCCCTCATGAACACAGTCTGAGTCTGGTGTTGCTCTATTAAGCCAATGGTGTGGATTTAAAAAATACCAAATATGACGACCAACAAAGTCATGAAGTTCTTCATGTGCAATGGGACCTGGCTTCATAGTCTTGGTGATTTGAGGAAAGAAGACAAAACGTACATATGTGTGACTGAAACAGAATCTTTACTTCTGCTCTCAGGATGTGCCCACAGCTGTTAGGACACCTGAGAAGAATGGTCCACCTGCAGAGAGCCTCCACTCCAGCTGTACACAGTGCAGGACACATAGTGAAAAACAGTGCAGCTGGTACAGCCTGTGTCTTATTTACTGCTAGGAATACAGTTCTACTTTTGTTTTCTTCTTCATACAACCTGAATTGCAGGGGAAGTAGAATAAGATCCCATGATGGTGGAAGAATCAAGTATCAAGCAGAGGATTTGCTATTGGATGCCATTTGAGTTGGGTCTTGGTTTTGTTCACATAGCTTAGAGGGAAGTTTGGCATTCAGCCACAACTGTGGCCTTCGGATGATCCAAGTCACAACCCAAACCTTTTATTTAACAGACTGCCCAGTACTTCCACAGGTGGACACACATTTCAGTAAGAAAGATGGATGAAACTGATCAGCTCTTCCAAAGCTACAGAGAAAGTAGAGATCTCACAAGTAATCAATTGAGAATTGCTGTCAGAAACAGGGATGGGAAAGAACAGCAAAAACATCAGGGGATGAGAGTGGAGGTACTACAATGGAAAGATTTAGACATGTGCATAAATGATAGGATTAAGGGAGATTCAGGTAGGCATTAAGAGGCTCTGCCACACATCTGGTCGAGGAGTTTATGTTGTATGTGACCACACAACTCTGAAGACAGGAAACATTTCACAACAGTTTTCCACGCTCAGAGCTCCTATCAGGGAGAGTTTTGACAACGACCTCAACAGGACTTCAAACTGACTTCTGAACCTGCAGCATGCTGCCACAGATGGAAGTTAGAATGCATGATACTTGTAGAAGAGTTTACTATTAGGAACAGAAAGTCATTTGTCAGCTTTTGTCACATGAATTGTGACTGAAATCTCTTACAGCACTAAAAGCATGCGTGGGTTCATAGGAACTGCAGTGCTATTTTACAATACATTTCTCCTCTTATAAATCTACGTTCTGGTTTATCACCACAGTGACAGCACAGGGAAACCTGTTCACTGTATCAGCTTTCCTTCCGCACTTAAGGTCAGAATCACATCTGGATTTCATTTTCCCTCACTGTGACTCAGTTGAATGCCTGCTGATAAAACCCCATTACCTGTTAACACCGAAACCTTCCTGTGAAGCACAATAGTGTGTTTACTGCTTCGGGATGCTCCCAGCTTTTTTAAGCACAAAGAGAATAGATAGCTTAGAGCACGAGTGTGAGAGGTCTGAATTCACAGTGCTCTCACAAGCAATGCTGCACACAAGTACAAGCAGCTTTACGTCCAGGTCTCCAGTAACAGGGCAGCAGTTTTACTGTTGTGCTCAATCATCCAGGCTGCTGCACGAGGACAGAACAGCTCCTCACGATGGCACACGGTGATGCTGCAGCAAGCAACTCTTCTCCCACTTGTCAGCAGCCACACAACTCATCTCCTGTTTGGGACTACAAACAGCAGTAGCAGCTCCTGCAGTTCAGCCGCTGTACGAAGGTGAGACAACTTCATCAGCAGCCAGCTTTATGCTAATTAGCAGCATCTAAACGAACATCTCACGAGGCAGTGGTGTAAGTGACAGCCCCTCTGACACCAGCAGGGATTTCTTTCATAAGGCTTTATTCTAAGCCTTCCAGGGATGCAAAAGCAAGAATCTTTTTGGAAAAAAATACATACAAAAGGCTGAGCTTCCAACACAAAGCTAGCAAGGTATAATAATTAAGCATTTTACCTTGTTTCTCTTTTTCTTTGAGTGGATCTGCATTATAAACTCGGAATCCATTTTCCATTCCACATGCAAAGCATCCTGTAGTAAAAAGCACATTATACATATACACATATACAGTAACTGGGAGATACACAGAAGATTTAAGGTAGTGCCAGAGGTTAGGAGAGCATCACTCAGTAACTGCACTGTTAAACATAAGCTGAAGAACACTGGGCAGCTTTGCTAATGTTTGCAAGCAGAAAGCACTTGGAGAAGCTGTCCTCTGTGCTGGCCTTGATTGCAAGCAGCACATTCTTAGCATTCTTTTCAAACAGGTGAGGAAACAACAGAAGGAAAGGAGAGCAATTCACAACCCACTGGTATCCCATGCCACAGTACTGGAGGGAAGGAAACATTTTAACTTTTAAGGTCCTTTTGACAGCACAATTACACAGAATCACAGAATCACCCGGGTTGGAAGGGACCTCAAGGATCATGTAGTTCCAACCCCCCTGCCCAGCAGGGCCACCAAACACACACATTCAGATCAGGTTGCCCAGGACCCCGTCCAACCTGGCCTTGAACACGTCCAAGGACGGGGCATCCACAACCTCCCTGGGCAGCCCATTCCAGGGCCTAACCACTCTCCTTGTGAAGAACTTCCCCCTAACATCCAACCTAAATCTTTCCTCCTTCAACTTGGATCCATTTCCCCTAGTCCTGCTGTTGTCAGCCCTTTTGAAGAGTTTACTCCCCTCCTGGCTGTAGGTTCCCTTCAGGTATTGATAGGCTGCAATGAGGTCACCCCGCAGCCTTCTCTTCTCCAGGCTGAACGAGCCCAACTCCCTCAGCCTGTCCTCATAGGGGAGGTGCTCCAGCCCCCTGCTCATCTCAGTCGCCCTCCTCTGGACCCTTTCCAAAATCTCAATGTCTTTCTTGTACTGAGGGCTCCACACCTGGACACAGGACTCCAGATGGGGCCTCACAAGAGCCGAGTAGAGAGGGACGATCACCTCCCTGTCCCTGCTGACCACCCCTCTCCTGATGGAGCCCAGGATCCCATTTGCCTTTCGAGCTGCCAGAGCGCACAATTAAGCAAACCTCTCCCACTTCTTATTAGGTCAGGATTCACTCTGAGGTCGCAATACATGAGAAGAGGGATCTGTTGTTCACGTTTCTATGGAACAGCGCTCACCCAATGTAGTTCCTAAAGAATACTGAAATAAGAGCCTACTAGTGACTAGCTGCCCATAGCATATGGCAGTAGCTTAAGTCTAAACCAGGGAATGATCAGAAGGAAACCTTTGGAAAAGTAATGTTTTAGCTACACGTATGCACAAAGCACAAATGTACTTTTTGGTGGAATCCATCAAAGCAGCAGTATCCTGTCTTACCTGCTAATGGGTGCATGCAGCTACTAACAGAAGTAAATGCCAGTGTGAAACTGGAGCAATCAAAAGTCATTAAGAAGCAGCAAGTGTCACCAGAGATTGCTGACAGAACAATGGGTGCTGTGCAGTTTATAAACACCTATCAGTAATCCAGGGAAAGTCATAATGGCACTGGAGCAGACTTTCATTTCCAGCAGGACTCGGCAAGGCACTCCACACCCTGCTGTACAGACCAGTATTGTACAAGTCTGGTGGTGTCAGCTTTAAGCTTTAACGCATCCTTAGGGTCCCAACACATTGACATCACATGAAGTAGAAGCTTTTAAATCAAGTTTCACACCCTTCTCCGTGCACCACTCTTCAGTTTGCTCTGTTGGTGGGACACAGCAGTGCTCTGTGTGGAGGCTGTGGCACTAATGAGGCCCCACCTCTTCCAGTGTACTTTGCTGGGATAACGAGAAAGCATGTTGTAATGGAAATGTATCTCACTACACAATACTGTACAAAATGAGAACTAGGCAGTTTCTTGCAGCTGGAGTGTGTGTTAATGTAATTATTCTTCCAGTGATAGCCTTAAAACAAAGTACTTTATTTCCAGGAGAGAGGAAGAAGAGGGATGGCAAACCTGCTCCGCACTGGAAGGGCGCTGGGTTTTTGATGCATTGATACCAGCAGCTTGTTACAAAGCCCCACTGAGTATTCCTAATGCAATACAGCACAGACACACCATTTCCTGTAACACTGCTGCAGCTTTTCTGCTGGGCTAACCTTGGGGGCAACACGTGGGCTGCTTTTATGTCTTGGGAATGGTTCCACTCCTAGCTGGAGCACATCAGAACTGAGGGAAGGGGATAAATGTTAGTATTCCCTATGCAGCCGATCACTACTGACACATGAAGTTCTTTGTCATGGCAATCTCTGAGACACAGAAGATCACTGCTACACAACTGGTCCCAGGCTATGGAAGCAGTTTTGGAGCGCAATGTTTTCGATGCGATCGCAGCATTTGCTGATGGGATCACAGGTCTGACAGTTCAGGCACACAGCCATAGTTTGTAACTTAGCACACAGATGGAAAGAGGCTGCCAGAACAGGAGATGGGAACCTCTGCAGCAGTAATTCAGCCTCCTTCAGCAGCAGGATCACATCTTACTCTTGAGAAAGGACAGGCATGTTGTCAAAGAACCACTGACAGAAGGCAATTCAGTTGCTTTTAAAAATTCCCTTTGGAATCCCAGGTAAAACCAGGACCTCCACAGGACTGTGACACCGCAGCTGTGTCTGCTCCTATGGTAAGAAAGCACCATTTCTCAAAAGTCCCTGTGGCACCAGGGTGGGTTTTGTTTGCTCTATTAAAAACAAGGAAAAAGAAAGGATTACATTCACAACTAACCAAGAAGGTACCAGAAGCTGAAGGGGGTAGAAGGGCAAAGAAACTGGTGGGCTTTAGGGCCTAAGACCCAGAAATTGCTACAGTGAAGCCTGGGCATGCCAGCATGGCAGGAGCAGCTCCTGACACGTTCCTGTTCCTTGCAACAGAAAATTTTGTCTAAAGCCATAAGATGCAGCACAGGATCCTACTCATGCCCCACTTTGGGGTCCTCTAAATAAGTGTTTCAGTACACAAAATGAGATCAAATATGTGTTTAAATACCAAAACAAGTCCACACTCCCATCCTCAAACCAGCTTGAGATTAATATCTTCTGGTACGTTAATTTATTATAATGTTTTATCTACTCATTTCCATAAAGTGCTTTAATGTTCCTTTGAAAGCATTATAAAAATGAAGATCCTGAGAGTATTCTGCTTTAAGACAAGGGAGAACACCTTGCACTGTGGGCCATTTTATTTGTTCCTAAATTTAAAATTTAAAAAAAAAAAAAAAAAGCAAAGTTGAACAGCCTAAAAACAAAGTATTGCTCAGAACAGAGCAAGGGAAGAACAGTACAGGAAAACAACGGGTGCCAGTTTTATCACTTGTCCATCACGGAAGTTAAGACTGGGAGAGACGTGTTAGATCTCTCCTCCCATCCTCCAGACTCAATAGGATTGGCTAGTCTTCAATTACCGAGAAATTAGGTTATTGTGGCAATATATGCAGACACCCACACTACTGAGCTTCAGCACTCAAGTGACTCACGTTTCTATTTTCGGTGGAAGCAACATGGAAGAAGTGAGCTTTTCCTCACACCGACTCTTTGGGCAACCAAAGAATTACCATTGTTTAAAGCAATTTGAGGCTCTAGGTGAATACAGATCTTATGTGCTACCTACAGTCCAAAGGCCATCATACCTACCCAGGCTCTGGGAACCTGCAAATAAAAACCAAAATGGTTTTTGCTCCTGGTGTTTTCTGGTTGTTACCCAGTAGGATAGGATGCTAGGAACGAACTGCTCAGCTCACAGAGCATACAGACTCCAAAGACAAGTTCCTTAATATTCTTTGGATTTAAGATTTCATTAAAAAAAAACAACAAAAACAAAGCTAAATTTGTGTTTACTGCTATAAAATTAAGAAATTTAAGAACAAAGAGGTTATGTGCTAAAATGGTGCTCCAAAGGCATTTTGTGGGAGAACAGAATCCCATCTTCTTGTGCCGCTCTCTTTATAACCCAACCCAACCATAGATCAGATATGAAACTGCTGTTACAGACCCCTGCAGGTTTGAAATGAAGCAAATCCGATCTCATCTCTTCTTCCCCCTCTGCTGCAAACACAAGATGAAAACAAGCATGGACTGAGCTGTTGAAAAAGCACTGCTTCTTGACTTTCAAGCCAACATCACTGCTTGAACAGAACTACCTGGAAGCTCATTAACAGCTCGATATCCTACTGACAAACACCTCACTGGAGGTGCTAGAGTAGGAGCACGGAGCAGGCCTTGCTAACACACAGCCTAACAGCAACAGGCACACGCAAGGCTGCCTTAGGCAAGAGTGCTGTGTGGCAAGCCCAAAGGATGTTACCAAATGACGGCTTTCCACTCCTTCTTCCACAAAAGGCCACTTACTCATAGGGCCGGAGCTATTTTTACATTGCAAAAGCCAGAGGAGGCACACGGACCCCTTTTGTAGGGCGGGCTTTTCTCACAGCGGGCAAATAAAGCAAGAGAACCGTTTTGCAGCCGGCCGGCCGCAGCATCCCGCTTTTACCCGCTGATGCGATCAGCAGCTCGAGAACGCAAATCGGACGCGGAGTTACAGCGCTGGCACTGAGAACGCGACGTTCGCTGCTTTACTTTCCCAAGGAACGCCGAGATGCCGATGCTCCCCGCCGCACCGAGCCGGCAGAGCCTTCCTCAGAGCTGGAAGCAGGAGGGTTGGCTCGGCTCTCTATAAACGGCCGCTGAAATCGGAGGCCGCTTCGTCAGCGCAGCGGGAGCCCCGCTCCCGGCCCCGGGCCTCGCCCAGCACGCACCGTCCGAACGGACCGCGCCGAACCGCACCGCACCGCCTTACGGCACCGCACCGCCCCGCAGCCACCGCACGGCACGGCCCGGCCCCGCCGCCTCACCGTGGTCCTGGTTGAAGCCGGCGTACAGCAGCCCGTTGCCGTGCGGGTTGGCCGGCAGCAGGTTCATGGCTCTCGCCCGCTAGCTTCCTCCCGCGGGACTTTAAACCATGGCGGCGCCAGCCCGCCTAAGCCCCGCCGCGGGAGCCCGCCCGAGCCGAGCCGAGCCGAGCCGAGCCGTGGCGGATAGAAAGGCGGCAGCTTCCGACACAGGCAGGCCGCTAGGCGAGCACCGAGGCCATCCACCCGGCGGGGCGGGGATCGCCGAGCGAGCGAACCGTGGTGCGCTGTGCTCCGCCCACGAGGAATGGCGGCGGGGGCGACTTGCTGTGAGGGCGGGCGGTGCTGAGGGCGGATGTGCGCCGTGCGAGCTGAGCCCTGAACGCCCCGAGAAGGAAATATGAATAACATTAACAGTAAATCCACCACCGTTACTATCAAGCGTCGAAACAAAGGTCCAAACGTCTTGGAGCGTTCACGCCTGGGGCAGCCCGCTCCCTTCCACCTCCCCTTCCCTAAAATCACCTTCCATCTCCACCAGGCCTCGCTCAGCCAGGACAGCCCTCAGTGCTGCGTAGAACAGCGCCCGCAGGCTTCAATCACTGCACGGTGACGGCTGCTCCGGCCTCCCCCGGCCTTGCCTGTGCCCTGGCTGGCAGCAGGATGTGAGCAGATCCATGCTAATGGTCTCTCCCAGTTTTCACACTACACGCAGCAGGTAGAAATCAGTGATCTGCTAGTTGAAGAGAACAAGACTTAAAACAGGACAGGAATGTGCACAGAACTCTGCACACAACCAGCAGTGAAACACAGCCAGAACTCCTAGGATTTGGCTGTAACCTCACGCAGCTGCAGGCTGCTATGTACGTTTCCTTAAGCTGTGGAGGTGTGATTTCTGCAGTGCACCGGCTTTATCCTGACGTGCAGCAATGCCTGTGCAGCTCAGCCCAGCAGATGGAGCCTGCTGGTCATGGAGTGAAGCTGCAGCAATGAAAGCAAGCCAGGAGAAATTCCTTCCGCTGCGCTGTTTTCCTATTTGATCTTTAAATATGAAACACTTTTCAAGAAGTGCTGCATTTATCAGTCCAGGTCCTGACATAGCTTTGGCATTTCACTTGTTTTAGTTTTCCCTACTCACACAGAGGGGCTGTGGAAACCTAGTCAGATGCAGGGGGAACATTAAGGATTCCTAACTTGATGGGATCTCCCGTTTGTGAAGATGCCTAGAAGAATTACACCATCACCTCAAAGGATTCCTACTGCTCAAAATGAGTCACAATATTCTTCAAAAAGAAGGGGAACGCTTGACATGTATCCTCCTGCATGATCAGTTCACAGTATTGAAGACAGACGTTGTATTCAAGGTATTTTATCATCCTTTTAAGATGGCTTCATGTTCCTGCTGTCCACTTCAGGTACGCTGTTCTTCCAGTTCTTCTCAAGGAAGATAATGACAACTTTCTCCAATGAAATAAAGCTTAGTAGGATTTATTTTCCAGAAGCATTTATTTATTTATTTTTAAATAGTGCTTTTTTTCTTATAAAGCAGGTTTTCAAGTCATGTTCCCTTAACCATAGAATCTTTGGCATTTCCTTCTCAAACTTTCCTGTAGAGTGGTATAAAATGTAATATATATATTTTTTTTCTTTACAGAAAAATAAGTATTTAAACCACAAATTACTTTTCCGAAGTATTAAATAACATACCAAAAAACTTTATCAAATCTATTACATATACTAATGGACAAAACCTTGTTGCATATGTGCATCATAATTGTATGCACATTTTTAGCTTAGTTAAGTTAGTGCTTTGAAGTCATCAAGGAAGCTTTACCAAACATCCAAATACAGAACTGCAGTATGACTGGAATTGGTTGCACTATTTATAGAATTTACAATGTATACAATACATTGCATTTAAAAACTTCTGCCTGGATATGTAAACCAATGACTCATGGTTTTAATAGTTTGCAAAAAGACAGGATTTCTTTTAAACAATTACACAGTAAGCCACATTCCAGATTTAATGGAATTAAGAACTCAATATAATGATAATTATTCCCCATAGGAAAATACATCAAGTAGTGAAAACAATGGCATCATGCATGTCAGAAACTAAAATAAAGTATGCAAGTCCAACAGCAAAACGTCACACCCTTTCAGTTGCACTGAACAAGTCACTCATTCCAAAGCAGCATTACCGTAGTGATCAGGCTCCAAATTAGTACTTGTTTTTCTCATTTTTGTCTATGTAGTGTGATACCTACACAGAGTATGCTCTATTAAAAAAAGGAGTCCTCACATTCAACGCTTCACTTGAGGGGATTCCATCCAGGTTCCTTTTCCCACAGAGCTTAAGCAATTTTACAGCTGTTTCTTGTACAGTTTTTTGATGAGCTCTGTGGTAGACGGATAATTTTAGCTTTCTTTAAGCTGTTCCTTTTATTGATGTTGCTGGATGTGAGCGAATACGAGCGTCCATGCATCATTCTGGCATTAAGACCGTTGGCCATGGAGAAAGATTTGAGATGGCTTCTTAAGGCAACTGGGAGAGGGAGCTTGTCAACAAGATGCACAGGGGTGCAGGAAACTATGGCACGGCAACAAAGGTCTTGCAGACTCAGTACTTAAAAACAGACATAAAACTTCCATTATAATAGTTTGCTTTTGTCAGCCAAACGCTAGTAGAATAACCAACACTCTGCATGCACGCTGTACTTCTAGGATGAATTCTCATTTCTCTTCCCACATGCTTTCCCACATCTGCATTATCAAAAATATCTGCTGCTTCCATTTCCTACTTATGTATCAATCAAAACTTAGTTCTAGGAAAGACATGCTATTCCCTCCAAAAGCAGGAACAGGTTATGCCTGTAGGTGCATATTTTCTGTTCAGAAAACAAGTTGTATCAGATTCCTGGCTCTTCATTTTGATGTCAGCCAAGGAATCAATTCTCTGGAATTTATTTTTCATTAAGGAACCACAAACCTTTTCCAGGACTAATTTTAAATATTTTCAGCATATTTTGCTTACCCTTGTTTGGCCTCCAGAGCCTGTCCATTCCATGCCTCAGCAATACTATTCTTGCTAGCTCAGTGAAGGACTCTGTAATATTGAAATTACAAAGAGGACTGACTTCAAAAAAAGTCATGCCCAGCCGCTCAGCATAGGTTTGTGCTTGTTCAGTAGACACTTGGCGCTTGAAGGCTAAGTGAAGGCGGTTTCCAACCAGGATTTTTGGTACACCAGGAGCATGCTGAGAAAAGAAAAGCAATACAAAAAATTGGCTCCAATTTTTCCCTTCCCTCAGTTAAAACAGACGATTTTTCATGAGTTTAGACTGAGTGCCAGGTTGGACAAGATGATCGCTAGAGGTCTCTTTCAGCTTAAGCTATTCTATGATTCTATGATTTAAAAACATCCCTTTCTCACTTGCAGAGAAGATGTGTCAAATCTATAGCAAGAGTGGGACTACAATTTGAAATCTTTGCCCTCCATATGCTTACTGCCAACACCTTTAAAGAAATGAGACACTTCAAGCTGCTATGTTTCTAACTTCCAAAATTGTAAACATAGAAACAGAATGGTAAACTTGGCATCTTGGATGACGCCGCAGTAAGCACTGCCTGCAAAATGCCAGTAAAAACAGCAGAAGATATCATAAACTGTCAGTCTTAGTCATCTGCAATAGACTGGTGACAGTCTTGGGTTGTACCTTACCTCATCTATTTCCTTTATCCATCGATCGATGCCATCAAATGACCAACGGTTGGTGATGTCGTACACCAGTATTACTCCCTGTTTTTAAATATACATGTTATTAAAAAAATAAGTTTAACAAAGGCACAAGACAGCAAATACTATCTGTGAATTCTCTGAGTCTGAAATAATCCTGCGAAAGATACTCAGTAAGATACTGAGAAAGATCTTAATGAAGCAGAACCTCGACATTCTATAACACCAAGCCCCAACTCTCTGTAGACTACTGATATGGTAAGGGACAGAATCCAAAACTTTCTGGAAGGGGGTTATGTACTGGTGAATATTTATTTTTACAGTAGACAAATGTGATTGATCATTCACACAACACAAGTCACAGTAAATAAATATTAGTGGTCAGATGCAGTAGGTTGAAGATTCAATGCTCTATATAATTCTGGAACATAAACCATGCAATTCTACATGTCGTGAATTAAAGCAGTACTTTGAAATCTGAAACACTAAAATCACTACACTGTATGTTTGGTTTTTTTGAGAGATTTCATTATAAGTCGATTCACTTCGTTACAGTTTTTATTATGTTTGTATTTTCCTGGTGCTCTTGAGTTTTGTGTTGGCTGTTCACCTTACCTGGCACACAGCTTCAAAAGGCAGCATTAGCATGCATATTCACATGGTTAAAGGAAGCTAACAGGCTTAAGTTGTTGATGTAGCCAACAAGAAGGCCTGAAGATATTTATCATTATAGCACACGCTGGTTCAACCACTATCTCATTAGTTTCTGCCCCTCCTCCTCTCACCCAAGAAAATCCTGCCCCTTATTATTTCCCAAGTTTCATGTTATCTTTAGACTCTCAGTGCAACTGCATGCAATCTACAAGTGAGCAACAAAAGTCATCACAACAACTTGCTGTCTGTTAAACATTCCTATAATACCATTACTCATCATTAAAGAGAGCAGCATGCAGCTTACCTGAGCACCTCTTGAATATGACCGAAATATGGTGCAGAATCTCCCTTGCCCTGATGTATCCCTAAACAAAATAAATTACAAATACTTTAAAAAGAAATAGGTGGACTCCAACATTAAGAGTTCAGCTAGGTTTGTGCTGATCAGTATCACCCCTCATTCTGTTAGTCACACACGTAGTCACTAACGTGTTAACAGCTGTTCTTATTCTCAGCAGGATTTTCCCTCACTGGAATTCAGCCTTTTAAATTTTCAGATTTTTCAGTATGAGAAGACAAGAATTTGAAATGTTATTCTTGCACTTGTCCTTGGAAAACAAGGGCTCCTGGTCCAGCATACGTATGCCACTAGACTTTGCATTTAGCTCAGCTTGAAGAAACATTCTGTTTTTGCAGCAGACAAAAAAAGTGGGAGGAAACAATAGCTATCACCAAGGAAACTAATGGAAAAACTAAATTCTTGATTACAGCAGCAATAGCTTATTATGAGTTCAATATGAGGAAG